GTTAGATTGAGGATAATGTGGACTGCTTGTTTGAATAGTAAAATTCCAATCTTTAGCAAACATTTTAAACTCAAAAGATGAAAATGGCATATTGTCAGTAATTAACAAAGAAGGAATTCCTAATTTACTAAAAACGCCTTTAAATTCTTTTATTAAAGAAGTAGGTTTTATTTTTAATCGGACAAATTTCAATCCATCTAGAAAAATAGTCCATAATAACAAGATAATTTTTACCAGCGTATTGTGCAATATCAGCACCAATTTTATAAAATGGAATATTAGGTATGGTATGATTTATAAGGGGCTGACTTTGATCTGACATATTTTTGACATAATGAACAAGAAGACACCACATTTTTAACATCATTTATGATTGCTGGCCAGTAAAAGAAATTTTTAACAATTTCAAGCACTTTAGATGCACTGGAATGTGTTTCATGTAATAAGTTTAACATAAATTTTCTCATTGAACTTGGTATCATCAATCGATCATTATAATAAAGTAAACCATCTGCAAGTTCTATATTATTTCTTAATTTGTAATAATGAGTTAATTCACCGGTCATATTGAAATTTTTTGGCCAACCATTTTTATAAAAATTTATAATATTAGATAGAACACTATCTTTGAGAGATTCTTCTTGAAATTCTTTCAATTTTTCATCAGAAATATTTAAAGTTTTATCTGTTATTACATGCACAACGTCATTCATTAAATGATCATGATATATAGGTGTTTTTACATTACATCTTGATAAAAAATCTGCAATATACATTTTTTTGCCAAGCAAATATTTTATTTTAAAATTATACAAAAATAACTTTAGTTTCAAACGCCGAATTCTATTATTTTGTATTTTCCTAATGCTTTTTGAAATGATAGATAGTAATGGCATATGATCTGTATAAATAGTAACATCATTGTGTCCATAAATATAATAATGAAATTTCTGACAGGAAAAAGTAATAGCCAAAAGTTCTTTTTCAATTTGCGCATATTCAATTTCTGCTGAATTTAAACATCTAGAAGCAAAACAAACAGGCTTATTATTTTGTAAAAGACAACATCCAAGTGCATCTTTTGATGCATCACACTGAATGACAATAGGGAGTGATATATCAAAATTAGCAAGAACTTGACTACTACAAATAATATTTTTAATTTTATTTAACGATTGAACTTGTAGATTTGACCAATTCCATTCAATGTCTTTTTTTAATAATTCGCGCAAAGGAGAAATAACCTTGGATAAATTTGGAATAAAATGCCTTAAATAATTTATCATACCTAATATTCTCTGTAATTCTGTTTTATTTTTTGGATGAGGCAAATTTTTAATTACTTCAATTTTTGAAGGATCAGGCAACATTCCATTTTTACAAAAAATTACCCCTAAGTATTTAATTTCTTCTACACAATATTGAAATTTTTCAAAATTAAATTTTATATTATATTTTTTAGCTCGTTCCAAAACTTCCTGTATAACCAGGTTATGTTGATCAATAGTATCGGTAGCTATACAGATATCATCAAAATATATTGTGACCCCTGGAATATCTCCAAAATATTTAAATACTAATTTGTGGAAAAGTTCCGGTAAATTACATAACCCGAATGGTGCTCTTAAAAATTTGTATGTTCCGAATACTGTACTAAATGCACAGAGTTGGCTTGACTCCTTATCTAATTTTAAATGATAAAAACCATCTTTAATATCAAGCACACTGTAATATTTTTTATATGCAAGAGATGGTGCTAGTTCCTCTATTGTAGGAATAGTATATCTTTCCCTAATAATAAATTTGTTTAAATGAATTGGATCTATACAAATTCTTAAAGATTTATTAGGATTTTTGACAATTACTATATTAGAAACCCACTCGATTGGTTCATTTACTGAAACTATAATTTCCCTTTCAACCAAAAAATCTAAAGCTGGTTTTAATCTATCTTTGATTTTCATAGGTATTCTACAAGCAGAACTGGCAAAAGGAATAGCATCTTTATGAAGCTTAATTTGGCAAATATCAGGAAAACAGCCTAAACCTTCAAATGTGTCTTTATATTTTTCAAAAAAAAATGTTTTATTACATAAATTTGAATGATTTGCTATTGTAACAATACGTTTAACTAAATTCAAATTGAGGCATGAATTTAACCCTAATATCGGAACACAATCGTCTTTAACTACAACAAATTCTAAAATATTGATATTTTTATCTGTTTCCACTTGAAAAACAATTTTACCTAATGATTTAATTTTGAATCCCCCGTAGGCAATTAAATTTATATTGAAAAATTTAATATTATCTTGCAAACCAAGTTGCTTGATGTATTTTAATGGCAAAATATTCAACTCTGAACCTGTATCAAGCTTAAATTTGATTTCCAAATCCTCCAGTTTCAACCATTTATACCAAGATTTTTCAGTCTGGAGGTCACCTGCATTATTTATTACATTTATAGAAAACCATGAATTGGATAATTCTTCGGATAATTCCGTTTTTCCATTTACTTCATATACTTCCACATCATTTCGGGATTCATTTTGTGTTTCTACTTCATTACAATTTTTTCTTACATCGTTTTGTTTCTGGGTTTTACACACCGAAGAAAAATGGTTAATACGTGAACAATTGAAACATTTTTTTCCAAATGCTGGGCAATTACCATAATCATGCTGGGAACCACATCGAAAACATTTAAATTTGTTGAATTGTATTTTTTTGATCACTGATCTGTCAGTTTTATATGTAACTTTGTCAACACACATGTCATTGGGAATTGAAGATAAAATTTTGATATTTTTTTCTGCTAATTCAACAGATTTGCATACATCAATCATTTTTTCTAATGAACAGTCATCACGTAAAAAACGTTCCTTCAAATTTTTTGAAAAAATTCCCAATACAATTTGTGCTTTCAATAATTTGTTTTCCTGACTTTCAAAATGACATAAGTTGATCAGAAATTTTAGGTCAGCATAAAATTTTTCAAACGGCTCACCTTCTTGTTGCTTCCTATTTAAGAATTGGTATACATTCATTATTTCATTTTTTTTTGGGTATGCAATGATTTTCCAAAATGCGTAAGATCTTCTCAACATTTTCTTCTACTGGCTTCAGATCAGAAATAGATTTGTACAACTTTAGAGCTTCTGATCCCACCAAATTCTTTAATCTTGCTACTTGAACTTCCTTCAATTTTTTATTCGTTTCAGTAGCCAAAAAATAAATCTGTACTTCATCATTAAAGTTACGAAAATTTTCAGCAACATTTCCACTAAGGAATAGCTCTTTGGGCTTGTTAAATTCCATTTCTTCGTAGGTCGGTTCACTATTACGACTGCGCCATGTTTTATTTTATAATATAGGTTTATTCAGGAACGTTTAATATTACAATTATTATATTAATTGACAACAACAATCATATATCTATCAAACTGACATAACTGGTTTAACTGGTAAGTGTCTATTAATATAGGTAATTATTATGTTAATATTACCTATATTAACATACACTTTGGTACTAGATTTGAATCCCAAAGTTCAGCTGTTTCTTAAATATTGATAGTTGAAAATGACTTTTCTGCAACTTTGATAGGCTGTAAAACCTACGGTTTTCCTCTAAAACGGTTAATTTTAGAGGAAAACCGTTCTTAGATTTTTATAAACTATCATTTGACAGCAACTTTGAATCTAATCCATGATCAAAAATTCCGGTTGAAAATTTTTTCTACGGTTAAAATCAAATTTGGTGTAAAATGATAGCTTATGAAAATCTAAGTAAGAATGTAAGATCGGTTATCCTTGAAAATTCACCGTTTAGGTTTTACAGCCTGTCAAAGTAGCAAAAAGTCTATTTTCCACTGTAAATATTTCCAAAACAGTTGAACTTAGGAATTCAAATTTTGTACTAAAATGTATGGAATTAAAAACCCTCCAAAATAATGTATTACTTGACCTCCCTTCTCATTTAAAATTTTCTAAGGGGTGGCTCTGGGAGCTGGGGGGTTGAAAGAGGGGAGGTGAATTTTTCATAAAAATTTATCTTCTTTCATATTATAGTTGCCGTGTTTCAGGAATTAAAAAAAAAATCACTTCCGAGATGATGGGGGTGGTAAATTTTAAAATATATGGAGTATAGAGACTTTAGGCCTTATTACTGGGTGTACTATTTAATAGTTTATAGTTATTTATGTATCAAGGGAATTATGCAGGTGTTAATACCCCAGGGCAACGTTTGTCAACCAATTGCCCGTGGCTATTAACTCCTGATAATTCCCGTGGTACATAGATAATTTTATATCCTACTGAATTTACTGTATTCTGTCTATTTTTATAAAGGAATAAGCCATAAATCAAAATTTCTATTTTTTTGTCAAAGTGTTACCTATTCAAGGTAAAAGCGGGAGTTATGGAAATCCTTAACTCCCTTGGGAGTTATGATATCCTTAACTCCCTTCCTTAACTCCCTTGGGAGTTATGAAAATCCTTAACTCCCTTGGGAGTTAAGACCCTGTTTATGATTATCGTAACCAAGGTATTATATGGTTTTAATAGTTCAGTAGGATATAAAATAATTTTCAATTTTCCTATCAGTAAAATTTTCATGAAAAATTGTACCTGTACCTACAAAATTTCAAACCCTTTGATTTTGTGCAAAATGAAAAATATCTGTATTTCTACCTTATTTTTTAAGGACTGTAAAGCTGTAGCATTCTTAAAAAACATCAGAGAGCATAGGTTTTTTTTTTTTTAGATTATGTTATTAGGTATTATCACTCATGTAATTTTTTACAGAAATGGGTCTCAGAGCTTAAGAACGGCTTGGGAGAATATGAAGAAAAAAGCAAAAAGTATTATTACAAAATAAAACCAGAATCGTGTTGCAACAGGTAAACATAATTTGCTAGTCCTAAAAAATGAATTATGTTTCAAGTTTATTGTCTTGTCCAATGACATGTGTGAAATACATGAAATAGAATATTTATTTTTAGACGGAGGCCCTCCACCAACACCTGAAAAGGTAGATCCCGCCATCGAGAAGGTTGTGATATTGTTGCGGCCTGTAGTGCAAGGTTTTGACCATGGCCTTGATTTGGATAGTATTGGAAAATGTGTGTACCTATTTTTTCTTTAATGTTCTGATTTTACATTATATTCTATTTGCAGATGCTTACGGTACAACAGAAGGTGAAACCGAGGGTGAAACTAAGGATGAAACAATACCTGTATCAAATGACAATTTTTCCAATGTGGTAAGTACAATTTTGCACCAACAATGGACAAATTGTAATAACTTTTTCTTCTAGGTATAAGTAGAAAGTGTAGAGGAAAACTTGACATAGAAGTAGAGCTTTCTGGAGATTGGAGCTCCTATACAAGTTCAATGCTAAGAACTCCACGATCCAACATTCTACAAAAACCCATTTTTCCTACTTTTCCTTCTTCTTCTCTGCCTTTGCCTATCGATAACGAACAACAAGACTTTGCAATCCCTCACTTCCATCATGCAGTTCAACTCCGGCCACTTTAAATCCGAATATTCCCTCAGTTGTGAATAGTACCCGGTACAGTGACTCTATTACCACAGAGGCGACAATTGCTGTCTTCTTTTTGATTGGTTCTTCAAAATCTCATATATTCATATGGAAAATGCCGCCATTTTGTGCCCAACTTCTTGCTGCTATATAAATATAAAGGATTTAAATTGACATCCATCATAAAAAATTAAAAGCAATGTATATGATGACTATCTAATTATATAAATAACTATATATTTTTTTATGATGGATGTCCATTCAAATCCTATATATTCATGTTCAAAAGTAGCAAGGGGTTGGGCGGCGGGACCTTTATTGTCGCCACTGTATGTAAAGGTTTATTTAGCCCTTGTAGTACCCGGCATGTCAAGGCAAGTCGACGACGACCTCTCCTAAAGCAAGCTGAAGCCGAGCAGTTGACCAAAGAAAAAATAAAGAGTCTAGCAGGCACTGCTCAACAGGCAACAGAGGAGCATGATGTCACGATGCGTATTCTTCTCCTCCAGGAGCAGCAGGAGGAAGAAAAGTTGAAACAGCAGCAGCTTGCAACTTTGCGGGTAAAAGTCAAGCTGAATCGAGAAAATTTAATGCTGGAACAGCTTCAAAGAGAAATAAATGAAAAAATTTCTGAAGTTTAATTTTCTAAAAGTTCAATTAATTTAATTAGTACCTAATCATACATAATAAAGAGTAATATAATATGTTTATGTGAAAAAATAATCAATCAATATTCGTTCACTGTAAAGAATTTTTTATTTCATTCTTCTATCATCAGCCTTTCTGCTTCAAGCTGTCTGTCTGTCACGCACTTCCTGCCTAACCAACTTACAAAAAAGATATAAATTATACCACATTCTTTCAAATTATTCATAAATTCAAAGTAATGCACAAACGATCCTGATGTCTCATTTCTCACCCAGCAAAGTAATTGTCAATAAGAGCACGACGCCAGCGGTGATTTGGATTGTCCCTTCTACGAGCAGCCTGCACAGGAGGATTATTGTCCATCTGTCCTTACGCCAGAAGAGCATCCCATGGAGCTGGCAAGTTCAGTTGATTATCATCAGGAGGTATTGGCTCTCTTGCTCTCTGAGCTATGTTGTGAAGGACAACTGTTGTAATTATAATTGCAACATCAACTCGTAAGCCAAGAGCCATGGCTGGAAACCGTCTCTTCCATAGCCCAAACAATCGTTCAATTGGGTTTCTGGTGCGAATCTGTGATTCATTAAAAAGGTTCTCAGCGGCTGTATCACAGTTGTCAAAAGGGGTCATCATGTAACGGTTACATGCATAGCCGGCATCTCCCACAAGCAGAGCTTCTCCATATGTTCCCTGTTCGAACATTGCTCTCCGGTAGCAGTTTTCAGAATATTTTATCATTATTATTGAAACCACTTCATTAGCAAATTAATTGCTATCATATTTAAATTTTTCAGAACATTCAGATTATTATTTTTATTACTATTTAATTATTTATTTTCTCTCTTTAAATATCCATATTAAATTCACATATTTTCCTTTTTTTACCCATAAGGGTTTTATAAAATTATTGTTTAAGATTCTGTCAATCAGGGTGATTTTCATTCCAATTTAAAGGGGCTTTGTGCCCTCAACGTTAACGTGAATCACAAAATCACTACACTAACCATAATTCAAAAAAAATACCATTGAGCAATATTGTTAACTATAGTCGACTACGGGGTTCCAGGTTCTAGGTATGAGATAATTCAAGGTGTCAATTAGACAATAACCTTATATCCAAGTAAAACCAGTTTCCAAAAATTTTAGGATTCATTAACTTACATTGAAAGGAAACTTATGAATTACATTGATACTCTACTTGAGGTATCTACCATTAAATAGGTACTGGTTATTTAACATATTTATTTCATAGGTACTCCTATTTTAAATTGGCTATACATATATTTGGTGATTACAATGTGACTTGAATAACCATCAATAATTATTGACAAATAGAATTTTATTCAAACGAAGATTGAAGTGTTGTTTTAATTATTATTGTTCCACTCTCACCAATTATTAATTTTGCAGATGTTCTCTAAGTTTGGTTTCGGAATTTAAACCAAATCAAATAAAAATTGCGTGGCGCCCTTTTAGTAATATATACTTAGGTGTATATTGAATTTTAAATATTTGAGTAAATAATTAAAAACTTCATTAAAAATTAAACTTTGATTTTGAACTCCGACCCATCTGCTCTCCAGATGAAAAGCAGCCGTTCGCTGTGTACCAAAAGATAAAAAATGCTACAAATCTCTTTTATAGGTTTTAAAGTTTGTTTATGCATGTTCTGAAGAGTACTAAATAAGTGAAGAGTATATAATTTATATTAAAAAAACTATGGTAGAATATCATGGATAAACTTTTTGCATTGTATTGTATTATATTTATTTATTTATTTAAACATCAAACTAGCTGAATGCGTCACTAAATAGTCTTTTAAATTATTTCTTGTTTTAAATTTGGCGTTGCATTTGTAACATTAAATTCCTCGTATTCGAGTGTGGTAATAGGTGATCTTTCAAATAGTCTTTCCATTTAAATTTCGCTTTGCATATGTCACGTTCAAAAGAATAAATATCAGAATGTGTTGATATGTGGCTTTTGGAATTACCTTTTTTGTTAAATTTTGTATTGCAAGTGTCACATTTGAATGGATAAATATTTTAACGTGTAAGCTTGTGTTTGTTCAAATTGTTTTTGCCTTTAAATTTTGCCTTGCAAATGTCACATCGAAATGGATAAATATGTGTATTAGTTTGTGAATATTTAAATCGCCTTTCCGTTTAGATTTTGATTTGCAAGTGTCACATTCGAAAGGATAAATATCAGTTTGTCAAATTATAACACCTCTCATCCCTGATTGACACTAACTGCGACTGAGTTTAACTATCCCCCATCTCATGAACGGTAGGTATAACTGAATATCTGAGTAAATTTGAGACTTTTTTGAAATATGTGTCATCAGCTGTTTACTGGCTCTTAGACTTATTCAATTATTTATTATTACTTCCAGTTTAATCGGGAGTAATCTTAACTTTCTTATTTCAAATGAGATACCAGATATATGATATATGTATATTTATGTTACATTACAACACTTGTTAATCAACCCATTGTGGATGCTGAATAAACATTAAAAAATGTTTTAATTTCACTTATTTAGCACTGAATGTTATTTTGAATTACCACTTATCAACTTTGGCGTTGCATTTAAATTTTTTCTCATCTAAATATGTCTTGATATGTGTTTCTTCAAATTGCTTTTTCGTTTAAATTTTGCTCTACAAGTGGCACATTCAAAAAGAAGTTTACTCGAGTGGATTAGTTGGTGACGCTTCAAATGGTCTTTTCGTTTAAATTTTATTTTGCAAGTGTCACATTCGAAAGGATAAATATCCAAATGTGTTAGTTTGTGATTCTTCAAATTGTTTTTACGTTTGAATTTTGCCTTGCAAGTATCACATTCAAAAAGATAAATATCCGAGTGTATTAGTTGATGACTCTTCAATTCGTCTTTTTGTTTAAATTTTGCTTTGCAAACATCACATACAAAAGAATAAATATTCGAATGTGTTAATTTGTGATTCTTCAAACCAACTTCACGTTTAAATTTTGCTTTACAAGTTTCACATTCGAAAGGATAAACATTCAAATGTGTTAGTATGTGATTCTTCAATTGGTCTTTACGTTTAAATTTTGTTTTGCAAGTATTAGTATTACATTCAAAAGGAAAAATATCCAAATGTAACAGCTGATGATTCTTTAAAACAGATTTTAGTGTAAATTTTACTTTGCAATTTTCACATTCGAAAGGATAAATATCCGAATGTGTAAGTTTGTGATTCTTCAATTGGTTTTTACGTTTGAATTTTGCTTTGCAAGTGTCACATTCAAAAGGAAAAATATCCGAGTGTATTAGTTGATGACTCTTCAATTTTTCTTTTTGTTTAAATTATGCTTTGCAAATATTACATATAAAAGAATAAATATCCGGATGTGTTAGTTTGTGATTCTTTAATTCGACTTTACGTTTAAATTTTGCATTGCAAGTGTCACATTCAAAAAGAAAACTATCCAAGTGTTTCATTAAATGATGTTTTAAAATTGATTTAGTTTTAAATAAAGCATTGCAAGTGTAACATTGGAATTTTCTGAAAACATCTGGTCCTGATGAAATAGCATCTCTTGAATATTTTTCTTCCTTCATAAATATTCCTTCATTTGGATCCATCAGTTCAATCTCTGATACTTCTACTTCATTTTTAATGTCATCCTCTACATATTCATCATTCATAAACCTAAAAAAAACTTCGTTTAGTGAAACTTTGAAATTACAATAATAAATAAAGGTGGATAAAGATTCCAAAAATTATTAAATATTTTTTTTCGAAAAACTCACTTTCGCATATACAGGGTTTCAGAAAAGCTGTTTGAGATCGCACTTTTTTAATTCAAAAGTGTGGCGCCCGTGGGGTCAGAGAAGAAGTGTGGGAAAGCCAATTTAATGGTGGTACGATGATGTAAAAAAATACATAGCTGACATAAATAAGTACCAGGTAACTCAAAATAGAACCAATGAAAGAGACCTACACACAGAGTAGAGAACGGCTCTTATGAATGATGATGAAAATCAAGACAGCTAAATAAAACTATCCTTATATTATTTTTTTATAGGTATGGTAAAAGACTGATGTGCCATCTATGGAGTACCTTATATTTCATGCATGGTCTGCGCACACATATTACCG